TGGGAAAAATTATAACCGGGGATATTATCAGTCAATTAAACGTTGTCATTCATACCCCTTTTAGAGTGGTTCATACCATACAGAACAGAAACTGAAAGAAATTCCATCTGAGTCTAGATTTAGTCTGAAATTAACATTAAAATGAAAACATCAGGGTATTCACAATTTGACAAATTCTAAGTATAGCCTTAATTTTTAAGCAGTTTTTCTGTAAGATCTTTTTAGAACAATTTGCCAAATTCTGGGTGTACTGAAATGCTGCATTGGGAGAATAAATCTAGAACCTGTATATATAGTACCTTGCATTTATCTATATCGAACTTCATTTATCAGTTATCAATTCATGTACATACTCTCGCAAAGCTTTGGGTGAAAGGGATGGAAAGGTGTATGCTCTGGAAAGATGAAATCGGATAGGCCAAAAGACCTTCTTCATCCAAACCAATCTTGTGATCTTGGTTGATAGAGTAAAATTTGGTGAATACAGTGTGCTGTTTCAAACCTGGAAAGACAATACTCTAAAACGTACTACAAAGCAATTGTGCTTATACAGCACTTTTTGTTTCCACGGAAAATTAATTTATTAATAAAGTTGCCAAGTGCAGCACAACCATCTCACAACCATCTCTTCAGAAATTGCAATAACAATTGCAAGGTGTAGTAGTACTTTTTAAATCGTATCAAAGTACAGAACCATTTGATCACGGACATTCAATAAATTCTTGTTACTTCATCTCAAATAACAGTACACCATTTCAAATAAACATGAATCAACATTCATAATGATAAAACAGTAATACAATGCCCTTCAGCTATAAATGTAAACATCTAGTTTTCAAAGTGCACATTAAAATGTAACTGTTACAATAACAACAACAACAAGATTTCATTTATAGAGCGCCTTTCACGTCAGGAGGACGTGCCAAGGCGCTGGACAGTTGGGTCGGGACCCGAGCAGGGGGGAAATGATCAGGGTGAGGGGAGGGAAGGGAGGGAGCGAGGAGGGGGTAGAGAGTTGAGAGGGGAGCTGAAGGCAGTTAACAGTTAACAGTTCTGATCACTGACTTTCTGATAAGATGTTTATTCCCATCTTTCGTCTCAATTGTACCACCTGAGAATCATGGAAAGAGGCATTTTCTTTGCTTTAAGAAATAACTTAGACGCTCAGTAATAAAAGTATGCTCCTACCTTTAATTTGAAATGCATGTTCTTAAAATGGCAATTCTATATTGTCTTGAAAAACAACTCACCAGACAATGCCCCTTTAAGAATAGCAAGTTCATAAACTGAGGCATACATTGCAAAGATGCAGTTACATCATTGGTGTCAATGAGAAATGTATTGACGTAAAATAAAAATAAAAATTGGGAAGCTGTATTATAAATGTTCATGCCGCACCTTTCCCTGAGCACACCTTGATGATATCTGAGCGGAGGTTTCAGAACCAAGTTGTTCCAGGCTGTCCCAGGAACAGAGTCTGCCTTTAAACTCCCAAGTGAGGTGACAGATCTCTTTAATCATTTCACTGCCTCAGCATGATTTATAGGGATGGAGAAAACTAGTATAGTTTTGGACAAAAAGTGCTGGTAGGGAAGTTAATTCTTTTGTAGGTAAAAACATATTTTCAGTGCATTGGACCCAAAACCTTGAAAGTGGGTTAAATCCAGTGCCCAATTTCAAAGATGTTTTTTTTCATTTTATTTATCTCTATGGAACAATGATCTGTGTTCTTTGTTTTCTTTTAGTTGAGAACAAATGTACTTTCTTCTGAAGTCTTCTATTTATGTGAATAATATACATTGGTGGATCTCATTTTTGTTTGCATACTCTTAAGTATGGTGATGGGCTGACCAATAAATAAATGTCAACAATAAATTAATAATACATTTTTAATCATCATTATATATTCTTTTGAGAGAGTTTGGTGTGGCAACTGGTTAAAACCAACCAAGCGAAAGAATATGAAAGTCTACTCATTGATGACAAATATAGATGACTCATTGAAATAATAAAAAAAAGGTCCTATCTCCCCTTATAAACTGGTAAAGGTACCACCCAATGCAGCAAGGAACCACACCAATCCAGAAGGATTGAGAGGTTTGATTCCTGGTTTGTGTTGACTTAGTTGATCTCAGCTGAGGCAGCAGGAGTGCTGCAATTTGTGAGGGAAGGAAAAATCAGGCAGTGTTCCTGTTCCTGATTGGTATCCAATGACCCAGTGCTGGAGGAAGGCCGGTGTCTGGAGGTTGGGCGAGGACAGGAGCAGACTGTGCTGCAGTGCCCTTATGGTCAATTCAATACCAAGCCTTAAACATGAATAATAGCCAAATAGATGAGGTTCAAGAGTGAGAAGTATCTGTGGAATCTTAATTGCAATTGGAAGTGAAAATAGATAAGGCCTTTCCACTGCCTTTTTTTTTAATTTAAAAAATAACCATTTGTTAGCAAGCATATCCATGAGTTCACCTACAAAAATAATCTACACTCAACAGTAAGTACTGTAAAGAGCTTTGATACATATTAATGTGGTACCACTATAAAAATACAAGTTCTGTCATATTCTATCAATATATTATGCCTGATTCCTTGAGTCTTGATGCTCTTGCTTTCACTTGAATAAATATATTAATAGAACCCATTCCTCATACAAAATATTTGAACTAAGGCAAAAATACATTGCACATTTATTTTCTTGGATACATTGTTAACGCCTCATTAGCATAGTTTAATAGTTGCAATACAAGCATTAATGATGTGACCGATTCAATTCCTGACATCGCAAAAAATAAATAAGCAGTACAACATCAATAAAACTGTTCCGCCTCAGTATTTTATAAATTTTGCCCAAATGTTCAAAACTTAATATACCATTGGTTTCAAATATTTATTGCATCTTACATCTTACATCTTCATTTGAAGTGTTTCTTGAGCACTTAACTTCGAATGGTGCCTGAGCTTGGGGTTTGGTAGAATTCCTTACATAATTGGTAGGTAACATTTAAATGAAAGAACTTCAGGGGCTAATATTACCCCCCGCCCCAGCTACCCCCAACCATCCCATCGCCATTTGAAGAGTCATTGGGCTTGAGGTGATCTCCCATGTAATATGACACTCGAGATTTGTAAAACTCCCCAGGAAGTTGGGAAACAATGAATGGATTGAAAAGAAGTGCTACACTACGAGAATATTTTTTGGTGCACAGCTGGACATATGAGTACCCTATGGAAAGTTGCACTTGTAAATATCATGTGCTGATAAACCACACTGACATAGAAATATCAGCATGTCTTGTCTCCATGTCAAAAATGATATTCTGCAGGACCCTGTTCTGTAAATGACATAGTTGCCTCATTTATGGAACATCTTACCTCTCTAATTTGGTGTTATATAATTGTTGGTGGATATGCCTTCTCAGCTGTTAAATGTTGGACATGCGGGGGTAAAAATTGTAACATTTGATAACAGATAATTATCATATTGAATCTGTTATGAAATGCTGTAACTTCTCAACCCATAATAGCTAAACAGTCTTAGAAGTGTTTCGGGTTTCTGGCGAATCTGAATTTTACACCTGAAATTAAAGAGGAGAAATATTGGAAGTAGTGGGAGTAGAGTAGCACTAACATTAACGACCTGAGGAATATCTCACCCTAAAAGATTATGGCATTTTTTCAATGGTTACACAGTTACTAAAACACAGCACGGTTTAGAAACAAAGGTTACTTGAAACGTAATGGTGTGTTATGAAAGCTCGACAGTGCATGTCAATGCACAACTGCTGAGTGCCACAGACATAAGTGAATAAACATCAGTAATACACTGTCACTATGTAATTCTCTATTTATTCCATGGGAAATTCACTAATTTTTTTGATGGGGTTGGATTTGTTTTATCTTTTAAATTATTGCTGTCTGTTTTTAATTTAATGCTGTACACATATTCCTACAGGAGTACCCCATTGCTATTATTTTACTTGTTTTGATGTTTGGTTAATGGGCCTATAATTCTCTGGGTTAGTTTTGTCTCTCTTTTTAAATAATGTCCTGGAAGATGTGCGTGTTGCAAAATCTAACCTGTCCTTAGCATTTTATTTTCAGTAGGTGCCCCACCAAATTTCCTTTCTCGGTATCATTCAGATGCATTTGACCTTGGAGACTATTAGTCTTCAGGGCTCACTAATTTATCAATCACTGTATTACTGTAACATCAAAATGCTCTATGATACTGGATGCATTGGAGGAATTGGATGGGAAATTAGTACTTGAATTAGTATTTGTGGGTCTAAATTGAGATAATTCTTAATGGGATTCCTTGGTATAGAATCTGAGATGTACAACTAGGCCACAATATTAATTATCATAATTAATTTCACTGTAGTCAATTATTATTAAATAGACAGAACAATTATTATGCATACTCATGGAATAAATATCATCAATATTCTTTAAAGAATCTGCGTCACGTTGGTTGCAGGCTTTTCATGCTCTGCTTCGAATTCCTCCAATATGTCACAAGCAAGTTTTCCGATGGAATCTGCGCCTAATGCTCATCCTTCAGGTCTGGAGTAAATTAGAAAGGTATTGAAATGTGTAGGGAGAGTTAATGAGTTTTACATGCAAACGATACAATGGAACTGAAAACAAAAATAGAAGTTTTATGCACAATAATATAAGAAATCGAACAGTTTGATCAGGCCTCCTCTTTTGTTTCATAATGTTAAAATACAAACATTATTGCTCCCTGACACCACGTGACGGAGATGAAAGTATAGACAAAGCTATGCATTATCCATGATACCTTTTCAGATTTTAAACACTTAGGTAAAAACACATCATCTATCGCAGTTGGTGAGTGTGCAAATCTCTCAAAATCTGCAGAAACTGCTAACATTTGAGACTTTTCGATAAGGAAAGATTAACAAAAATCAGTCACCTTTCTAGTTTCAATGGTGCTTTCTTAATAGATAATTTGAACCTAACTAAAGCTTCCAATCCTGTGTCCATTGTGCTAAAATTACATCTATTTTTTAAATTTCACAAGTTTTAAAATGCTGCAAAGAAAAGGTTACATTGTTTTACCGGGCACCCTTCCCCCTTCCAGTGCAAGCACATACTGCCTAAAGCTGAAACAAGGATATCAATTATTTATTTACTACACTAACGGTGTTAAAACATAAACAACTTGAAATGATTCATTGTCATCAATCACCATTTCGAATACTTAAAAGTCCAGATCTTCCGCATCAAACTCTTCATTCACAGGCTGCTTTGACTTGTTCACTGGAGAAACTTGTTTATCTGATTCTGTGTCCTCACCATCTTTCTGATGTGCAGGTTCTTCAGGGCTGTTACATATAGTTTCTCTATCATCATCTGATGAGCTTTCCGGGTACATTTGAGTAGCTCTGGGCACTGTTTTATCTGAGGTACTACTTGCGCCTTCTCCACTTTTCATTTGAACGCAATCTCCATCAGGAGCTTCCATTGCCGAAACTTGCTGCACCTCAGCAGCCTGCACTTGACAGCTAATATCAGGTGATGTAGTGTGTTCGGTGGTTATCTTTCCATCCACACCAACCTCCTCTACTTCCTCTTCATTTTGGTTCTTAACAAAATCGGACTCTAAATGTTCATCAGACAATTCTGAGACTTCATCCAAATTTTCTGCACTAACATTGCTGTCTGTGGTCTCTTTCACATTGTCTTGTGAATTGTCCCTATCAATAGTATCCGAGTCGTCTTCCAATAATGGATTATTATCTTCATTCTGATTCTCTTGTTCTCCATTTGCCTCAGGTGTAGTAGTACATTCTTCTGTAGTATGCTTCATATTGTCAGCTTTACATTCACTGCATTTAGAAATTCCTTCTGAATTATCACCATCCTCTTGCTGTTGCAATTCATTTTTGCAAATATTGCTCTTTCTATCTTCAGTTGGTTCTTTGGCATCATCTGATTTTATATTCACTGAACCTTCACTTTCTCCACTCGGACTTTCTAGTTCATCTTCACATTTTTCCACTAGATTTTGCTCTTCATCAATATCCTGCAAATTACTATTTTTATCAAGGTCACCTTTTGTTTCTTCTGCTTCATCCTGGTGTGATGTTTCATCTGATCCATGGCTTTCAGTTTCATTATTAATGTTTTCCTGATTCTCAGTCACAGATTCATCATCTTGACCTGCATCCTCTGTTTTCACTTCTGCATTTTCTTCATCCTCTGTTTCCTCTACATTCTTTCCATCTTCTGTTTTATCATTTGCATCCTCTCCTTCTGTTTTCACTTCTACATTCTCTTCATCCTCTGTTTTATCCTCTACATTCTCTTTCTCCTCCATTTTATCCTCCATGTTTTCTTCATCCTCAGTTTTCACTTCCATGTTATCTCCATCCTCTGATTTAAGCTCTGTGTTGTCTTTGTTTTGAACAGATCCAATGGACTCACGCTCAGCAATTTCCTGCTTATTACTCACTCTATCCAACAATTCACTGGTGTCGCTGCCATTTTTTTCAACATTCTTACTAGCTTTATTCAATTTAAGGATCTCTCGCAGATCAAAATATTTAACTACAGGAGCGAATGATTGCACTGGGTTGATTTCAGGTTTAGAAGCCTTGCTTTTCTCCGCGCAGCTCTCACAGGGACAGAATTCATCACTGCTAAGTTGTTCATTGAGATCTGTATCGTCTCCAAAGATTGGAGTGAAATTCAAATCTCTATTACTAAGCAGAGATGAGGTGTTACCCGTACTTTGTTCATAATTGTTCTTTTTGTTTGCATCAGCTGGAGCATTGTTCATTTTGTTATCATCACAGTTAGATTGTTTATACATAGCCCTTAGTCGTCTTCTTCTTTGATCTGTTTGCTCAGATGATTCACGTCTAATTTGATCCTGTGGAGGCCTTGGCACCTTTTTGCCTGATCTACCTTGCACTTTCCTTAATTCCTTTTTAATGCTTGCCTGGATCCTCCTGCTAACTTCTTCTCTTAAATCGGCAATCATCTGATCTAAAGTGTCATTATTTTCTAAGTTCCACTTAATCTTGAAATCATTCATTGCATCGACGTAATGAGCAATAAATTGCTTTTCAATTTTTTGGAGTAACTTCATTACCCAGGCTGGCTCAGGATCTGGTGAAATCTTTTGTGGTGGCACACACCCTTTCTCTTCTGCTCGATTTTGGACAGTACATTCCTTATCTTTACTTATTTGTTCTGGAGACTCTGTTACATCAACATTATTACATTCTTCCGTTATTTTATTATCCACGCTTTTCTGTTCCTCAAGATCTTCTACATCTTCTGGCCTATTGTGGTTTGTTGTTTCAGATTGATGGATTGTTTCTTGGATGCTGCAACTTTCCCTATCAGATGTTTGCACCACATCTGTACTTGGATCAGTTTGGTCCTTTATATTTTGTATTGTATCTTGAGGCTTTTCAGCAGTGTCACTGTATGTATTTTCATCTGGATCATAATTATTAATGCTTTTCCCACCACTGCTCCACTGAACACGATATGCTATATCTGGTGTCACAGGACTGGAGGATACTGCATCTAACTGCCGTGTTTCTGATCTATTTCCAATGTTACTTTCTTGTGATTGGTACTGTGAACTCTCACAACTTCTTAACTTTTGTTTTCTACAGCATACGTTCGACATTCTTGTTGATGTTGAATACTGTTCGTCCTTCTCATCTGATGAGGTTTTGACTGAGTGAGGTTGTTTAATCTTTGTTGAGTTCTCATTCATGATGGTACATGTTTTTATAGCTAAATCACATTTTATTTTCTCTGTTGATAAAGAGGTATTGACTGTCCCACCGATGCTGTCTTCTCCTGAACCCCCTGATCCACTACTGACATCTACTCCAGAGGAAGACATTGGTGTGATGTCTTTGTCTACTGAGTTGTGGACTTTAAAAGGCTTTGAGTGATTCCCTGCCATATGAAGGGCCTCGTTTTCATCACCTTCAGCAATGCCAGTGAGCCAGAGTGATCGGAGAATACCCAAAAGTTCTTCGTATCTCGAATTATTAGAATTTGGGGATTTATCTTTAGAATGTAATGATTCTTCATCAAAAAGGTGCAGATTTCCAAGACATGTCAGTAATGATTTAGCTGACTTGCTTAGTTTTTTTTCAAGTTCAGGACTTAATTCTGGCAAACTGTTTGACCTATCCAATTTTGCACCCTGCCTAGTAAAAAGAAGGACCTTCATAATCTGAATGGAGGAATGTGCATTATTTGGTAAATCTCTATTTTGTGGATTGTTGGGTTTTGCTGTTACACTCAGGCCAGAATTAACTGGCTCTGCTTGTGATGTTTCCACAACGTCTTTGACACTGCCTTCCATAGTATCATTATTGTCTGCATTTAGACTGCCACTGTCTTCCAGCTTTGCTGCCTCCAAGTCATTTTTCTCTGTTGGCTCCGATTCACCTGCTATTGTCTCCTGTTTAGACTCGTCTAGTGTTGTAGTCGCCTCTTCTACTTCAGCTTTGGTTCCCTCTGGGGTCACGTTGGTTGCAGGCTTCTCATGCCCTTCTTTGAATTCCTCATATGTCACAAGCAAGTTTTCCGATGGAATTTTTTGCAGCCATGTGTGGACCACCTCTTCAAGTGATGCATTTGGCAGCTCAGAAGGTATAAAGTCATTCTTCTCACAGGCATCAGTACTTGTGTGATTTTCATCATGGTCCTTTTTGATTTGATGGCCGTGCTTACACTTTGATTTCTTGCTGCCTCTTTCGCTTGTTTTCTCCCTGACACTTTTATTGTTTATGTTTTCATCAGCTTTGTGTGAATTTAGATCGTTACTCTTTTCACTTAAATTAGATTTAGACCTCAATACATTTAGCTTGGACTCTGGAGGCTTTTCACCTGTTATTTCTCCAGGAACTATTGAGCAAGTACCTATGCTGCTTCTAGACTTCTGACTAGAGCTCTTTAAAAGCTGCCTTCCATTTTTAGCTCCAGGCTTTCCTTTTGGAGGAGACGGCTGGCGTGTACTTTGATCAGAAGCAGAGTCTATAACTGATACTGCTGCATCTTCAACCACTGTAGCCGAAGAAAGCTCCACCTTTGCTGCATTTGTTTCTTCGGACTCATCTTTAACTTGTTTGCTTTTAATTTTGGCTTTAGATGCTTTAGAAACACTATAGCAAATGCTACTAGCTTTGTCACTTCCCTTGGACTCCATTTTAACATTGTTTTCCACTTGTACAAATTCCAACAGCCTTGATGGACTACACATTGGTCTTTGGTCCTGATCATTTGCTTGTTTCTCTGCACAAAGGTTTGGATCTGCTTTGGAATTACTAGAGGCAGGCGTAGAAGGCCTGGATTCCGCTTCTGATTTGGTCATTCTGCTTTTATTTCTTTTAGAGTTACAACAACTCCCTGATTCAGAGCTTGAGGGTCTTATGCTTTCGTTGTCAGAGTTTGCAACATTGAGCTCTTTGTTTCCATTCAGTGATAGTGGTTCAGAGAAAGTGGAGCCCGACGGCTGCTGAACTGTCAGCTTCACTTTATTCTTTCCGTTCGAAATTTCTGAACATGAAGCATTACTATAGGGTCTCGCTTCTTCTTCTGGAGCCAGTGAAGGTGCCGTGTTCTGTGGTGCCGAGGACACTGATGAGAACAAGATAACAGATGATGAGCTGTCAACATCTGAATCCATTTTAACTTTACCTTGCTTGCTTTGTTTGAAATGTTTAGATAAATGGGAGACGCTGCTTATTGGCCTGGCATTATTATCACTGTCTTGGACATGCAATTCAGGATGGCTGCCTTGCAATCCAGAAAAGGAGGACCCTGGCCTGGATTGGTTTTCGGATTCGCTGACATCTTGCTTTTCTTGTTTGTCTGTGTTGGATCTTCCTGAAGACAATGACATTTTACTCTTTGGCCTGTCACATTCAGGTGTTGCTTCTTGCAGATTCTTGTCATGGTTGTGGGAATAGCTGGACATGATGGAACGGACCTCCTCAGCATCCTGCATGTTGTCCATAGCGCTTGCCTTTCTGCTCGTCTGGCTGGGGCAGCTTGATGCAGCGCTTATTGGTCTTGGAGATAAATGGTTGTTCCCAACAGATTGGTCGCTACATTTAGCTGAGTGACTTGAACAGCTTGAAGTCACACTGTGAGCTCTTTCTTCTGAACTTTTCTCATCTTTGGTTTGCTTGCTACCTGCAGAGGATTTAGAGGTCTGACTTACTGGCCTGTATTCCTCTGCAGTACTCTCAGTGTTTTGTGAAGGCATTGAGCTGGTGGGTGATGGTGCTCTTACATCTGTTGATTTAATTGCAGAATTCTTCTTTGAATTAGCTGTAGAGGGGCTTGGTGAAACATTAACAAATGTCTGCTTGTCGGTGAGTTCCTGAGAAACTGCATTGTTCTGGTGGCTGCGGCCTGTGGAAGGTCGTGATGAAGCCCTGTGGCTACTGGAAGTAGATTCTCTGCTTTCATGATTCTTTCCCATATCAGAAGCAGAAACAGTGCTACTGTTTTGACAACTGCAGCGCCTTAGAGAGCAGTATTTCACTCTGTTGTCATCTCCGTTTTCCGCAGTCTTCGAGTAGCACACTGCCTCCTGTACGATGTGCTGTGTATATTCCTCACTGGATGTTGTCCGCAAGCTTTCGATAGACTCTTTTTTCTGAGTGATTCTCCTGCAGGATGAAGTCGTTGAGCAAGAAGAACGAGCCCGAGTGACATTATGAGTCTCCTCGCCTTTAGACTTTTCAACATAAATTGGATTTTTCCAAATGTCGTATTCTTGACATTGGTTGCAGCAATTCTGACAGAGGTTTTCTGCATGTTCTGCGTCATTGAGCTTTGAGATGTAGGAGTCGTCAGCATCACATGAACAGAATGGTTCATCCACCTCAGAACCATTATTAGGGTTCATTTGCTCGGCCTTTTCCATGACCTGATCTTCCAAGAAGCATAAGCGGTCACAACTGCTTTTTCTTGGTAAACTAGATCTCCTGATCTGTGTGGACCACTGAAGTGTCTCGTCATTAAGCAAACGAAAGCGAACCTTCATTTCCACAGAGAGACTCCCATCCTTGTTAACATGAACTTTTTTCTCAATATCATCATCTATCAGGGCAGTAGCAAATTCCCCATTTTTCTCATGTGGGCATGAGTCCATAAATGAAGCATAGCCGCTGTTTCCTGATGACATGTTCAAGCCGTTAGGATAGGATTTATGCGATGACAATGAAATTCTAGGTGACCTAGATGGTGATCTGGGATGAATTACACTCTTCTTTGCTTCCAATCCAAAATTAGCTATGGAACGTGGAATGGCATTTCAAAGGATATGCCAAGAATCCCAAAGATAACATCAGAGAGAAAAAGGGAAAAGGAGAAGAAAAAGAGAGAAGGCAATTTGTTGTTAGTTCTCTTAGAAAAGACAATTAGACCACGCTTAACTTTTGTAACAATTACCAAAACCAGTTATACGTATGAGGTGAAGAGAGGTAAGAGAGGTAGAATAGAAAGGTTTTAGAGGCATATTATTCCAATTATCAGCACCTTGGAACAACCTCTTGATGTAAAAGGCACTATATAAATGTAAGTTTGTATTGCATTGTAACTAAACCTATTAAGATCTACTCATTGTTAGTGTGTCTTAGAATCTATTTCTTATGAAGAAGAGTACTTAGTGGAAATAAAAGCTGAAATAATTAATATTCGATGGTTTTCTCAGAATAGTTTCACTGTATGACAAGTCATATTTTAGTGTGGTTGAGAATCTATGCAAAACTCTCAAACCACCGTAGCATTACACACTTAAGTAACATACTTACTGCAATCTGGCATTGTGGAGCTTGGCGTTCAAGTGTTTCCCTTCACATTTGGCAGTTATTTTAATACAATTTTTACTAACCACACTTTAAAATAATAATAATCCTTGCATTTGGTATAGCATCCTTCAAGTTTGGAGCATATCTTCAAAGAATTTACTGTAAAGTGTAATCATTCTATACTTTGCTACAAATATGGCAACCAATTTGCGCACAACAATGTCCTACAAACAAATTTACTCTTACAAAGCTCACAATGCTGAAAACTGACGCTCATACATAACACCGAATGTTGACATTTACATCGTATTTTCATAGCAATCTGTCTATTTAAATATTGCCAACCGCAGTACTAAGAAAAGTGACACCAGGTACATAATAAATCAATGTTATTTAAGTAAATTAGATATTGTGATTTAATTCTACTCACATCCAAAAGTGTAGTGATTATATTTGTGCATTTTATGTACAATATTGCCTTGATTTATTGCTAAAATTAAGCATCTTACAATAACTATTTATGTTTGTTTAACTCATAAGGGAATACAATTGTGATATCCTACTGAAAGTTAGTTATACACTATATGTTTCATGTTATATACACTATATAATATATAATATTTCCTTACAGAATATAAAACTAAGTCAAGACTTGGAAGGAACAGCCTTGGTATGAACTGTGGTCTGTGCTGAATTAGCTGATCTCAACCAAAGTGGCACTAGGGTTGCTACAATTGGTCTCTTTGTGCCTGAACTAAAGAGGGGAAAAATCAGTCAGGAATCCTTCTCCAGATCACCAAGTGCCAGAGAGTGTAAATGCATGGATATTGAGTGATGTCCCCTTACCAGCACTCGCTGTCTTTGTTCACACTTAAAGAATGGCTGTATGGTACTGGAGGGCTCCTGCCCTCTAGGGACCATAGAACAGCACCTGGGATACGGACCTGACATTTGCATAATATTTTGCACAGCAATTGGTCTATTTAAATATTGCCAAGCACAACATTAAGAAAAGTGACTCCAGTTACATAATAAACCATTTTTACTTAAATGTAGGTAAATTAAATTGAAAAGTAAAGCATTGCAAGGCTGTAGGGAAAGAGTGGGGGAGTGGGACTAATTGGATAGCTCTTTCAAAGAGCCGGCACAGGCATGATGGGCCAAATGGCCTCCTTCTGTCCTGTAGGATTCTATGATTCTATGGCATAGAATCAGGAAAGGAAAGGAGAGTATTGGAATGGGAACACTGTCTCTCCCGAACAAACTTATACATACACATATTTGTTAGTTAAGAACATGATTGAAACAATTGAATAACTATTGAAAGTATTTTGTTTCAGTTTTCTTTTCAAGGATGCAATGAAAAAAAATTATTGGAACGCTGCTATTTTAATTGTAAGCATTGTATAACTTTGCTGAAGAACTGACATCTAGGAATCAGCTGATAAATAATTGTCCATGCAGCACAGGATTTAAGGAGGTTTTCAGTTTTGTGTGATAGCACTTTCTTGGATGACCTACTTGATATCAAATGTTTTTTTAAAAAAAACTTACAACATTTATATTCCCATAACATGGGACAATCTTATGAAGCTTCCCAGATTGGGAAAAACAAGTGCATCTTGGCCACAGTATGCTTTTACTCATTGAAAACAAGCACCTTTGTGCCAGGGATAAAGGAAAAACATGTCATCTTAACTCGCATTCTCTGGGTGGAAGAAAGATGTGTGGAAGTGAGCAATAATTAAAGTGAGTTTGAAAGGACCTTGTTTTGAAATGCATTATCGTTTCCAAAATATTCTGTTTTATACCACACAAGGCAAGATTTTTTTCATGATTAACAATCGCCATGTACTGGTCATGTAATGTAATTATTAACCTGGGCAACGTTAACTGTATGACTGCAGGATTTTGTAGGATGTACGCTTGATCAGTGGCCTAACTAGACTTCCCTCCTTTTGTGTTGTGATCAGCTACCTCAATCCATGAATCAAAGCAAGGTTTGTCTCCTGTTTTTTTTTCAATTTAATTCACGTACTTGGGTTATGTCTGCAGTATGGATACCTATAGACAGCTACTAATAGGCCAAGATGTGCAACAAAGCAGATGTACTGCTTTGTTTCCTCATTCCTTTTTTTCTACCACTTTTATTTCCTTTAGTACACCAATACAATACTAATTTATATTTATATAGCACCTTTCACTTTGAGAGGACTGGCCAATGCACTCAACAGTAGCTTTTTAATAGTTTTTAATAGATATTTTTCCTGTTACTTTTCATTCTTGTTTCTCTTACTCTCTATTTCACTAATAGTCACTTACTGTCTCTCCAATTACCAAGCATATATATTATCAAAATAGTAGGATTATTATTATTACCACTTCTCTGAAACTCTTTACCATTGAATTCAATTTTGATAACTTTCTAACTATGAAGCTGAACAGGTCTCAAATACAACAAGAAGTACTTGGAATTATATAGCACCCTTCATGTAAGATAGAGTCTTGGATCGATCTGTAAGACAGTTTTTTTTAGTTACACCAAATCTTGTCAAATCTTTTTGAAAAGGAACATCGAATTAAAGGATATCTTTGCCACTGAAATTGAGCAGTCAAGCTTTATTTTGTGTTCTGCAAACATAGAACTCAGTGACAATGTTCATGTCAAAAACATGTCTGCATCCCACATTACTGTGTCATTGATCTGTGATATCTCTGCCGTTTTGGTCATTCAGACAGCACAAAACAAATGCCCCTTCAAGCTCCTAAAATGGTTGTGCTAAATGGTTTTACAATCCTGAAATAACAAAATTCATATTAATTTAGCTCCTTTCATTTCGGGAAGAAGTCTCAAAGAATTTCACACAAGTGACTGGGAGCTCGAGCAGGCTAAATTCTAAATTCAAGAACAGCCCATCTTATTATCACTAGTAATTCAAAACTAAAGACACATTGTGGTTTAAGATTCTCTTTTATTATATTAAAGGCTTAACAGATTTTAGTTTTGTTTAGAGTTAAGAGTTTCACACTTTCAAATATATTAAGTATGTACTAACCATTTTTCTTGCTGTCAAATGATTCACTGGCAATACTGGCACGGGATCGCATAGACAGACCTGGCAGCTTTTCAGATGGATTCCTTCTGAGGTTTTCGTATGTAACTGGTTTAAACGGTTCATGTCCAACACACACCAGCACACTAGGACAATGGAAAAGGGCCTGCAGGTTGTCGATCTGTAAAGCACAAGTAATATTGTTTTCAGATGAGGAGCTTTTTTAGTAACCAAGTGAAGCAACTGGATTGTATTTTTTTTATATATGTGCAAGTGAGCATTTTTGTTACGTTTTCCCACAAAGTCACTGCACTTTACAGTATATCCTGTGAAACACTTGAAGACATCCTCTTCTATTCGAGTGCCCTCCATGCCAGTCTCCCCAGCTCCACTGCCCACAAACTACAACTAATTCAAAACTCCACCCACCCTAAACTCCATACCCCAACACATTGGCTCCCGATCACAGAATGGAACGATTTCAAGATCCTCTCACTTGTCTACAAATCCTTTCATACCCCAGCCCTGCCTACCTTTCTGATTTCCTTTCTCCCCACTCCACAACCTACTTAGCTGGGTCTGGCCTCCTGCTTGTCCCTCATTCCCTCCGCATCGGTGGCCGCACATTCAACCACTGTACCCTGGAAGCTTTGGAACTCTCTCCCTTAATCCCTCTGTCTTTCCCTCTCCTTATCCTGTTTCAGATCACGACTGAAGACCTTCCTTTTCGACCAAGCTTACGGTTATCTCCCCCCTCCCACCAGCTCGGCGTCGGGCTCTGCCACTGTTAAGAGCATTCAATAAAATAGTCGACTTTGTCCTTGTTATTGAGGTGTCCTCATCAGTGAGTTTAGGAATTTGGATACATCAAGTTCAAATGAAAAAAATCATACTGTGAAAGATAAGATAATAATTTTGTATTTGCTATAGTGCCCAAAACATTGAAACTTCGAAAAACATTTTGTCAGGTTTATGGTCAATTGTAGTGACTGTGTTTTTGTGGACAAATGCTGCAGCCAATTTCCACGCTGCAATGTCCCACAAACACCCTGAAGAGAATGATCAATGTATCGGGGGAATTGTTTCTCGGGACACCAGGAGAAATTCCATTCTCTTTTTGAATATTCAAGTTTACAAATGACGTTCTTTGTTTCTGTGACCAGGGCTCCCTCTTCTTCCTTGTCCTCCTGGAGCTCTCTGCTGCTTTTGACACAGTTGAGAATGCTATCCTCCTGAACTGCCTCTCCTCCCTCATCCACCTCAGTGGGACTGCCCTCTCCAGGTTCAAGTCCTACTTGACCCACCATCACCATTTCATACAATATATAATCCTTACATTTGATATAGCGCCTTATCATGTTTTCTAGATCTCTCAATGTGCTTCACAGGATAAACTGTAAAGTGGATTGACTATACTTTGTGGGAAAAACGCAGCAGACAATTGCGCACAGCCATGTCCCAGAAACAGTCGTGGATTCAGTGACCAAATTGTTTGTCTTTTTTTTTAAGGATTATTAACCCCAGAAAAGTGGTCTGCGAATTAACTGACAACTGGGTTCCTATTTACAGCTAGGTAAACAGAGGCGTGTGGAGTAAGGAAACTTGCCTAAAGTTTTGCCGCCTGGGAATTGAACCCAGGATCTATTGTTTGCGAGTCCACATGCCTGTAGTGTATTGGTTCCAAGTGATTCTAAGTCTGCTCGTGCGGCTTGAACCCATAACTTTCTGACTCAGAGGTGAGATTGCTACCACTAAGTCAGACTGATATACAATTTGAACAGTATATCAAACAGAAATTCATCTAAGTTTTGAGGATTGCTTCTCAACATAGGAAAACATTTCTCCTTTGGATAGAAAACAATAAAAGTCTTGTCTGATCAGTGATCCTTCCTCACCTCTGACCTCTATTCTCTCTTTGACCTGACTGTAACATTTCATGTCTTTCTCTATCACTACTACTGTGGTTATTTCTCCACCACAAATTCCTTTCTAACACATACTCCAAATGTGGCATGTTCAGTGCAGTAGTTAAGCTCATTTTATTGGGATCTATTTTATGCTGATCACTAAACACAGTTTTTAATGAAAAATCCACATCTCCCTCAGTCTTCTCTTTGCCCCATAATGTACAAGATTTTTCAGAGCCTTAGGCCTTAATTTATAGTAATAAATAACCCTTGCATTTGATATAGCCCCTTATCATGTCATCAAGATGTCTCAATTGCTTCACAGGACATATTGTAAAGTACATTCACTGTATTTTGTGTGTACCTAGGTTCTGAATAAAATAAAATGTTGAGAAATAGAATAATTACAGTGGTTGTGAATTATTAAACTCACTAAATAGACTCCTAGGAACGGTAATAATAATAAATAATAATCCTTGCATTTGAAATAGCGTCTTATCACGTCATTGATACGTCTCAAAGTGCTTCACAGGATATACTGCAACGTGGAGTGACTGTATTTTGTGGGCAAACAAGCAACTAGTCCCACAATGTCCCACAAACAGCCATGGAGTGAGTGACCAATTTTTTTTATTTGGAGAATTGTTGGCCAGGACACCAGGAAAAACTCCTCTAAAATAGGCTGCTGGAAACAGTAAGAAGAAAATACAAATGTACATTGTGGGTAGCAGGGATTAGAACCATAAAATCACAGAAATTTACAACATAGAAGGCCATTTGGCTCATTATTTCTGACTCATTTCCTGCCTTTTCCTCATACGTCTTTTTTGATATCTATCTAGAGATTGCTCGAGAGGGTATGTCTTCATCATGTCATTGAAAATGATTCAAGTATGTTAATATCCAGATACACACCGACATCATACACTTGCATTGTTGCCATTCAAAGATGTCGGTGTTGCTTCCCAGCCCAGAATAAGTTCTCCTGTGGCTGAATTGGTCCCTTGCCCTGAGAAATACGCTTCGGAAGATGCTCAGAGTAACAATCTCCCCACAGACCATTGGAGTACATCCCTATGCATCCGAGAGCAAAATAGAATATCGTATAGAGTATTCAGAAAGTAGATGGCACTAAGATAACTGAAATTAACTGAAAAAATAACTAAAATATGCCTTTTTTAATAGCATTATTGTTTTTAAATAGGTTATGTTTCCATTAACAGCGGATTTACTATGTCATCACGTGTACATCGAGTGTCAAAACTAAAAAATGTTTTATGTTTATAATTTTTCTTTACACTGTATTTACACTAATTTACCTTACACTGTTTTTTTTAATATTCTTCAAACTGAACATTTTTTTCTTCTGGCTCAGGTGTTTCTTTCCCACTACTATGTGAGCTTTTTCATCACCTTTTACGTGTCATATTTAAAGTCTTCAGCATGTTGGTGTTCACCTTCCTGGATTTAACTATTCATGTAAAGCTTTTTTATTCTATGAGTCGCCCTTTTATTAATGTGCCTTATGCATAGGACGTGCCTTAGACCTCAGGCATGTCCCATGAAATCTGTGTTCCTGGGCTAGCTAATTTTTTTAATATAATTTCAGCTTGGAAACAAACACTAACATCCTTTGGATGAGAAGTTTAAACCAAGGTCCCATCTGCCTGTGCAAGTGGATGTTAAAAATCTCATGACACTATTTGAAAAGATAAGTTTATTCCAGTGTCAAGAGATAAACTACAAAGGAATGGGAGATGTGTGTATATGGGGGTGGGTGGGTGGGACAAGCATGAAATCAGTTACTCCAGCTACTCAATGAGTTATCTCAAGCTATCTTGTCAGCAGTGTCCGAAGGTTAAATATAATCATACAGAAAGAGACTTGTTATAACCTGTTGGACCTGTTATAATAAAAATGTTCTTATTATGATACACTTGGTTTCATTTCCACTGTGGGTTTTGAGGATACCACACACTAAAGTGATATACACATAGTTTGTAGTACACCTCGCCACTCAACAGTGGGGGAAAAAATCATCAACAGTGGGGATGATATCTCAAAATACATACATCCGCTACGCACACAGATCCTTTTACAAAAAGGAAACTGGAATCAGACTGTCTTTAATCTGTCATCTTTGTAAAGCTTGGTTCAAGCACGATTTACAGCAATGGTGGCCAAGCTGTGGCTCATGGACTGGAAGAGGCCAACTGGGCCATCAAAAAGCGTCCCCCCGAACAGTTGCACAGTCTAGATAAATCCATGTTTAATTGTTAGTTTGTTTTCAGTTTTTCTTGATTGAATAATTCTTGATATGTGGCATAAATCAAGCAATATTCAATCAAGAAAATTGATTTGGTTAGCCACCACTGATGTACAGCTTTGGAGGAACATGCCATGTAACTGTTCTGAATACACAACGTGATTTAAGTTTAATTGGATCTCCTCTGCCAGCATAATGATAGGCTTAATTAGTGCTTTTAGTCCATTGGCATAAAATAGTTACTGCTGTGTTAAATACTGGTGTTTGTACAATTCAAGTTAGCTTTCACATTTAGATTGTTATTTTCCATGTAAACTGAGATGCCCTGTTGTTGAAATCCAAGTATCTCTTCTGCTAATTTTGGCTGCAGAAAATTCACTGAACTCACAGACAAAAATAATATTCTTAACATGTGAATGCAGTAATCCACCCTAATACAGTACAGTATAAGCCTATCTCAGTTGGTAGCACTCTCGCCTTTTGGTCAGAGGTTCTAGATTCAAGCCCCATATCAGGATTTGAAGCTGACACCACATTACACGCTGAGGATGTATCACATTGTCTTTATGTTAAAGATCGCAGTCTGAGGAAATCAAAATACAGTAAAACTTCCATAAGTCATATCAGTCGGGACCATAACATTTAACGGAATTACACAAAGTCTGAGGTGCACACAAACTGTATAAATCATATAAAATCTGAGTTAATCGATAATCTATACTGCACATGCATAATTCAATGCAGCTGGTAACTGTGCATGTGGTAGTTGGTCACTGGAGCCAGTAAGTGCCCATTCAATGAGGGTGTCAAGACTACATTTCCTGCGATTCAATGTGTCTTAACCCGTCACAACATGTGCACTTACCAGCAAACGTTGGAATCACATTGAATCACGGGAAATTATATTGCACCCGTGGATGGGTTAGTACATCATTTCCTGCCATTCAATGCAGCCAGTAAGTGCGGGAGTAATGGAGGGTAGGGGAGGTACATTACAAGTTAGGAGGTGATTAATATGAATAGTGCAAAGAAGTCTAAGTGGTTTTGATAGGAAATTAAATGGGACTCAGGTGAGTGTACGATTTAGGGATTATATGATTTTACTATACAAAATTCCCTTTGTGATCTTAAAAACAAGAATTAAAGTTATGATCCTGTAGTTTTTTAACCAGAAACCAGCAAATTAGAAGGAGCAAAGGCCTTGGGATCAGCACTGCAGAGTGTGTATTAATCCTGGCATAAAGTAAAGAACAAATCAGCTGCGTTCCTTTATGCATGTATTGTGCTATTTAACACAAGGAACAGATTAAGGAATGCCACAAATGAAACCCTTTTATTTTAAGAATATGGTAACAGGAATAAACCATTTCACCTGTCCCTCATGTGTGCAGTGAGTGAAAAGTAAAGTTAAAGAATAATAAAGATTTGTTGCTTTATATCAAATTATTTATATTATACCTCCCAATAAACTCCAGAAAGAAGAGGTGGTTAAAATATATGTTTTTACAGGGTGTTGTTAGAATGTGGAATGATTCAACACAAATGTCAATCAGTATTTACTGGGTGTAGATAGTGTGGACGTAGTGTGGAGGAGCTGAACTTTTAAATATTATTTTGTGGAATAAGTAATATTCAGGATCAAGAAAGACACCATCCTTTACTTCCACAGTGACAGCCACTAAATTAAGAACAGATTATCTTGAATTCCCAAGCAAGCTTTCTTCTTTCTATCCCATCCCTGATCTGATATTAATATTTTGTTTTCATTCTGTTAAGTGAATATTCAAAATCAGCCCATACATATACTGCATATACATATATACATATACTATTTATATACATATATAATACAATAATACTTCAACAATTGCAATGGTCTATAGTGATTAACTATTGAATTACATTCAGTATCAGCATATTAATACAGTACTTACTTTTCTTCCTTCCACTGTGTAAAGTTTTCTCACATTATATTGCATGAGCTCTGAAATTTCATCAAGGAAATTTCTGAAGTTCTGTGCATTCCTCTTATTCAGGATGATGGAGTGATGAATGTCAGCATCTCCGTTTTTTATCATTGTGATTTTCTTGGGTCCTTTATGGATGTGATGTGAATGGTCTTCGTCTTGCCTTGCCATCAGGATGGCACGTCGCCGGGCACTTGTTGGTCGAGGGCCCTGCTGTGAAGCTGGCTTTCTCACAGCGGCATTCGCGTTGGCTTGCTTGATGCTCTTTTTATCAGAACACAGATAAGAACCTCCATCTTCCAACTGCTCGAGCGTACTGATGCTGTGAACCCCGCGAGGGGTTGTGACAGTGCGGACACAAAATGGAAGAGATACCCTCTGAGAGAGGTCATCTAGCAGGGCGTCAAAGGTCTTGAAGACCCGTTTGTTTACAGCCATCTTTACTCCACTTTGCTGAGGGTGCCCGCTTCTGTAGAAGGTTATTTTCTTAGCTGGAGTAACTTCAGTCAGGGGGGCGGACTTGGCGACTGGAGGCAGGGGCTGCTCATAATTTAATGGTATGTGGCAGAGGTATAACCCAAAGAAGAGTGGGTCATCCTGATCTGTTAGAAAAATCTGAAAAAGAGAAAAACAATGCAAGGAATATTTAGATTCCAAAGATCCACTTCCTCTATATTTTAGTTTTATTGAGTCAAAACTGTTATAACATGCTTCGCTACAGTATAGGTTCATTTATAACACAATCTGACAGCGGACAGTGCCATTTTGTCCACAAATACCATCATTGCGCTTCAAATTCCGTCATCACACTTCAATTTCCGCCATTGTCCTTTAAATTTTATTAGTGGGCTTCAAATCCCATTTATTTGGATATTCAAGAATGGTGATGGGTTTCTGAGTGAGTCAGACATCCAGCTGACCAAAAATGAAACAACAGCCTCCTTGGAAGATACTTAAAGGAGACCTCAGAGTGGAAACATGACCCGGGAGGTACTCAACCATTCGAAGTGTATCTGGAGAAGTAGACAAGCATTTTTTTTATAAGTTTAATATGAGATAGTTATTCAGAGAAAAAGCCATTAGACATAACGTACATGCACAAAAATGCAAGTGGCAAAATGGGGATAACTGTTTTTTATATTTCATAATCTCAATTTCTAGATCTATTGTACATTTAAATAATAATAATACTTGCATTTAATATAGCACCTTATCAAGTCATTGAGACATGTCAAAGAGCTTCACAGGATATACTGTAACGTGGATTGACTGTGTATTTGGCCAACAATCCCCCTAATAAAATTGGCCATGAATGGACGATGGAATCTCTTTAATAATCCTTGAATTCTGACACATCACGTTGTTGAGATTGCTCAAAGCACTTCACAAGACTCACTGGAAAGTGTAGTGACTGGGCATTTGTAGGCAAACGCAACAGCCATTTTGCACACAGCAGTGTCCCACAAACAGCCGTGAAGTGAATAATCAATTTAATTTGGGGAATTGTTTGCCGGGACACCAGGAAAAACTTCCTTCTCTTTTCGAGTACTGCATGGGATCTTTAACATTCACCTGAATAGGCAGACAGGTCCTCGGTTTTATGTCTCATCCAAATGCAGCACTCCTCCATCATTATATTGGAGTGTCAGCCTATTGTCAGGAGCTCAAAGTTTTGATGTGGAGCTTGAACCCACAACCTTCTGACTCAAAGGCGAGAGTGTTAACAACTGAGCCAGGCTGACCCTTGATGATAAGATTGAGGACCAGATTAAGAACCCCAAATATAAGGAAGTTGCAATTAATATCAGAGAAAGAAAAAGCTAAAAGCTAGTGGATTAATATCTGAATGGGAAATATTAATAATACCCAGCGCTTTGGGATGTCCTCCCGATAGGTGCTCTATAAAGGTGCTCTATAAATGTAAGTTTGTTGTTGTTGTTGTATTTGATGCAGCCTGATCATGTCAAAAATGTTTCAAAGTGCTTAACATAGTTCTCTGTAAAGTGTACTGACTGTGTATTTATGGTTGCACAACTATGTTCTTTAAACAGCCATGAATTGAATTACCAATTTTATCTGGGAGATTGTTGGCCAGTACAGCAGGAGAAATTCCTTTTTTGAATAGTGGCATGAGATCTTTAACATCCTCCTCAACAAGATGGGGCCCCTGTTTAATACCTCTGACAGAGGATGGCACCTCCGACTCGCTTCCTCCCTCCGAGTATTCAAGACCTGCCTCAAGACGTACTTATTTGACCACACTTCTTGTCATCATGCTCCCCCACTCTCACATCCTATTCAGCTACCACCCCCAGCTCGGGTGCCCAGTTAGCAGTGTCAAGCACATTGAGGCAGCCTCTTGATGTGAAACGCACTATATAAATGTAAATTGTATTGCACAAAGTCAGAAGGTTATAATAATAATAATCCTTGCATTTGATATAGTGTCTTATCATGTCTTTAAGGCTTCTCAAAGTGCTTCACAGAATATATTGTAAAGTGAATTGACTTTTGAAAACAGTTGTGTATTGAGTGACCAAATTATTAAGTGTTTTTTTTGAAGGGATCATTACCCCCGGAAAAGCGATCCACCAATCAACTAACAAGCATATTCCTATTTACTACTAGGTAAACAGAGGCGTGTGGAATAAGCAAACTTGCCCAATTTTTGCCCCGCTAGAGAATCAAACCCAGGTCCTCTCGCTTGCGAGGCGAGTGCTCTAACCAATATGCTACAAGACTCCAAGGTTGTGGATTCAAGCCCCACAATCCGACTTTAAGTTGATTGTCATAGTCAACTTCATTGTCGGAGGTGCCATCTTAACTGAGCCGTACTAGAATCTCCACTTTTGACGAAGGGCAAAAATATTTAGTCATTGATTGAGCGCTGATAAACCTGAGCAGCAAAGTGAATGAGAAGTCACAGGCACTCTGCCCGTTTCCATTGCTTGGTACAGGAGAAAGCCGAGCTGACCGCCTGCACACTGTCAGAACACTGATTACCTGATTCCAACTGTCATCACTTTATAGACTTTGAGAAGAGTTTATAGGATGATTTTAATGCTTTTCTACCCCACTAAAAACAGCCGTCATCACCCCCATCCAGAAAAAAACATCCCTGGATCCATCCCTCCTCTCCAGCTACTGCCCCATCTCTAACCTCCCATTCCTCTCCAAGGTCCTGGAACAAGTCGTCGCTCTCAGCACCCCTCCTGGCCAACAATCCCCCAAATAAAATTGGTCATTCATTTCATGGTCTTGCTGCTACGTTCATCTACAAAATACACAGTTACTACATTTTACAGTACATACTGTGAAACCCTTTGAAATGCCATCCATCATTTATTTCCACAGGTCATTGAGTCCGTGACTAGAAGGCATCAATTTAAGATAGTTAGTAAATGAGCAAATGGTGAGGTTAGGAGAATTATTTTCACGCACAGAGTAGTTAGGAAATGAAATTCCCTGCTGAGAGCAATGGGTAAGGCAGAATCCATATTAGTTTTCGAAAGGGAACTAAATAAATGTATAAAAATGAGTAAAATATAGAGGGACAGGTAAAGGTCAGGTAAATGGGACTGAAAGAGTTGCTCTTAAAAAAATCCAGCAGAGACATGATGGGCTGAATAGCCTTCTGTGCTGACAATTTGTATGGTTTAAGGTTCCAGATTTGAAAGGCACTATATCAAATCCCAGGATTGTTAATATTATTAGTTCCAGAGGCATTGGCTACCCTCCATTACCTCACCAAAGTGGTCAATCTTCATATATGGTCTTAAAAACATTCAGTAGAGAAAGAGACCATTGGGACCCACGTGACTGTTCTGCACAAATTCCCTGTTGGGAGTTAATCCCATTTCCTTAGCTTTTCGCCATATCCTTTTATATCTTTATAATCTCAATGTGTTTAATTCCATTTGAAATGTCATAATGTCATAATTGACTTGGCTTCAATAGCCACTTGTGGTTGTACTTATTATATTTCTCTTTTAAAAATAATAGCTTTGCTCCCTCTTTAGATTTCTAGTAACATCTTGAGCTTATATCGTTTGCTACCAAACAAGCAGCAGGAATAATATTCATGAAGTGAATGACCAATTTAATTTGGGGGACTGTTGGCTCGGACACCAGAAGAAACTGTTTCACTTTAAATAATGCTATGGAATCTTTAACATCCACCTGAACACAAAGATGAGAACTCAGTTTAACGTCTCATATAATCAAGGGTCAGTCTGGCTCAATTGGTAACACTCTCGCCTTCGTGAGTCAGAAGGTTGTGGGTTCAAGCTCCACATCAAAACTTTGAGCTCCTGACAATAGGCTGACACTCCAATATAGTGATGGGGGAGTGCTGCATTTTGATGAGACATAAAACTGAGGACCTGTCTACCTATTCAGGTGAATGATCCCATGCAGTACTCGAAAAGAAAAGGGAGTTTTTCCTGGTGTCCCGGCAAACAATCCCCCAAATTAAATTGATTATTCACTTCATGGCTGTTTGTGGGACACTGCTGTGTGCAAAATGGCTGTTGGTTTGCCTACAAATGCCCAGTTACTACACTTTCCAGTGAATCTTGTGAAGTGCTTTGAGCAATCTCAACAATGTGACATGTCAAAATTTAAGGATTATTAAAGAGATTCCACCGTCCATTTGTGGCCAATGACTGAAATGTCAGCACATTTCTCTCTTTCAGATGCAGATTGACACACTATAGATTTTCTATATTTTCTGATTTTTGTTTCAAATTTCCAATATTTGCATTTTCCCTTTTTTTGCTTTTCACATGAAAGGTTTCAAAGTATTGTCAAATAAAATAGTTGTGGAATACCAGAATAAAATAGAGTAATGACATTTAAAGATGTTGTCAAAGGCAAAGTTGAAGAGATACGTCTTTAGGGGTTTTTTAAAAACAGGGAGAGAGGTAGTGAGTTTGAGTAGCTTTTGATTGAGAGCATAAGAGGACAGAAATGAAATTCGACTGCCAGCAGGGAATGAAGGGACTGAAGAATAAGCAATAAATCAGAGTTGGGAAGCGCATAGGGTATAGTATGGAATTGAGGGTTACAATAATAATCCTTGCATTTGATTTGGTGCTTTATCATGGCGAGATGTTTCTGTAAAATGTAGTGGTTGTTTATTTGTCAGTCCAGGCAGCAGGCAATTTGTGCACAGCAATGTCCCACAAACAGCCTAAAGTGAATAACCATTTTTTTTTGCAGGGGAGGCAAGAGTGCTTCTAACTGCTTCAGTCTAACACTTATGACACCAAGGTTGGAGAAGATTGCAAAGGTAGGGAAGGACAAGGTGTAGATAGTTATGAAAACCAGGACTAGGATCTTAAACATGATCCTCTAAGCAAGATTCTGGGAGCCAAAGAAGTTTGTTGAGAATCTAGGTACTGGGTTTGTGGAGTATTGTGCGGGAGAAACTAGCTGGTTTAGTTGAAGCTTCTGGAGAGTAGAGCTGGTGAGGCCGATGTGGAGGACATAGTAAATAACTGTTCCCATATTTGCTATCATTTTTACTTACTGTTGTACCCATCAAGATGAAAGTGCCAATGCTAAGGAATTCAATACATTGCAATTTCTGCACCCAGTGTCAAATAAAAAGAATCCTATGGAGTCCTGTAGCTCAGCGGTTAGAGCACTTGCCTTGCAAGCGAGACACCTGGGTTCAATTCCAGACAGGGTGAAATCTTGGGCAAGTTTCCTTACTCCACACCTAATAATAATCCCTCCATAACAAAACAATAATAAAATTGGTCATTTTCAATCCACGATTGTTTTTTTTTTTGGACATTGCTGTGCGCAATTGGCTGCTGCGTTTCGCCCACAAATATACGGTCAATTCACTTTACAGCATATTCTGTGAAGCGCTTTGAGACGTCTAGAAGACATGAAAAGCGCTATATCAAATGTAAGGATTATAATTATTATTATTATTACAAAACATTTCCAAATAGGTAAAGCTCCCTCTGTTATGCCCAAACAATATACTCTTATCCCAGTTTCAGAAGAAGCTCTATTGTAAAGTGCAATCCAAATCTATCTGTCTAAGTTTAAATGCATCAAGATACTACCTCGCTGAAGGGCGCATTATAAATGCAAGTTGTGTTGTATTGCTGACGTTTAACCAGCTAAAACTATTGTCCGGTAAACTTCCCTCTGCTTGTCCAACTATGACCATCCCACCTATCAGTGCTTTGGCTTGCAGGGTTTACAGGAGCCAAGTGGGAAAAATCCCTGCTCCCCATTGACTGGTCTACTCCTACAGTCTGCTTTGTCTATCGTCAACTGTGACCTGAAATACTGTATGCCCACCTGGCTCAGGACCCGGGCTATTGGGACTGCCGCAGAGAAATAACTTGATTCCGACATCCCATTGGCAGCACCCAGCCTTGCAGCACTTCAGCCACAAGGAGACCCTACTTACCTTCCTCCGAAGCAGCAAAGCAGGAGCCACAGACATTTCAAAGTATTACAACTTCACATACAGTAGTTACTTGTTGTAATATATGTTGGAAAGAAAGTTCATATGATAATACTAAGCTTATAAAAAGAAAGTGCCTCAGTTTTTCATGATTTACTTTTGCAACTGAATTGTTGTGCTTTTGTAATAATAATAAAAATCCTTGCATTTAATATAGCCCCTTATCACATCTTCGAGATGTCTCAAAGTGCTTCACCCCCGGAAAGCAATCTGCCAATTGGCTAACAACCGGGTTCCTACTTACTGCTAGATAAACAGAGGCATGTGTGTGTGTGGAGTAAGGAAACTTGCTGCAGGTTTTCTTTGCTTTTCTTTGATAAAGAGGTGAGTTTTACGAAACATTGTTATTCCAAAGAATATATTGGTTAGGTTAGCGAAGGTAGACTTACACAAACATTTTGTAATTAGTTGTAGATCAAAAGCATCCTTCTCAGTGTAAGTAACAAATGTAATTCAAATAAGTGCCCTTGTTTCTGAATTCTAACATAACTTTATAGGAGATAGCGATGTTATATGAAACTCATTTTGTCATTGGCTTAGGTCACAGGTGGCATATAAGTTGACTGTTGAAATTATATTATAAACATCAAAATGAATGAATCCTCATTCCTCCTCTTAATTCTGGTTTCTTAATTCTTCATTTTGCTGCAATGAATGTTTAACATCGTCCTCAACATAAGTTATTTTTAAACAGATAAAACTGTTTTAAACTGCATTCATTTTAAATGAACAAAAAAAGTCTCACTACTTTCCTAACATAATATAAACATTAACCCCATGACCAGTACATAATTTACAATAAATCAATTAGATTTCTCACACTTTACTCATTGTGCAAAATAAAAACCAAAGAAAATCTTCTCAACACAGCAAATAATCAGAAGTTGTAGGTACTAATGGTCTGCAATCTACAGATGTTAAGAAGATATGCAGCAGATGAAACTAAATGGCACAATTTACTTACTTTGCAGGTATTCATGATTCTTCACTTATACAAGTTGGCAACTTCGGTAAATTGCAGCACATCACCTAGCCCAGGAAATGTGACAAGGGTCCAGACCAATAGCTTCCTTCAAAATGTCTGACAGTCATGTGCAGCTAATCAGTTCTATAATGCCCAGGACAGAACTATAAACCAGCTAAAAATAAACTGAAGTATATCAGTCAGCCCAGGACATGGGGTAAGGGTGTAACCAACTACATCCTTCAAAATGGCTGTCAGTCACATGTAGTTAATCAGTTTTCTAATGCCAAGGATAGAACTATAAACCAGATAAATCTCCTCACACAAGTTTCAAATCTACAAGACCAATTATTATCATTTCCATTACATGATGTGCGTTAAGAGAAATTGCAATACACATTTGACTTTCTTAATGTGCATGTGCTATCAGATAGAATATAAAATAAATGATTAGTTCACCAATCAGTAAAATAAAATGATATGGATGGAAAGCAATGCAGTTCATCTTTTCAATTTAAACTGTAGAGAAAAAGGTTAAGCTTTCAAACTTTGCACTTCTAACATTTAATAACTTTGCACTTCTAACATTTGCTGAACATTTCTGTAATGGCGAGTCCGACTCACCTTTAAAAGACACAAATTAATAAAAGACTCAATTCAGTTCCCAAGCCTTTGTCTCCTCCATTGTCCTTCTCTCTCTATGGCTGCGTGTGGAATCAAGGCCAAGCTAAGCTTTTCACTGATGAGTCTCCTATTTTGAGAACAGCAAGAAAAGTTGGGTATCATAACCAATTTGTCAATCATAATCACAGCTAAGCAGGATTGCAACCACACCAATGTAGAACTGCTTTCTTAACTTTGAGAAATATTTCTTCTGCTCCCATGAAGATTTCTTCCAGTTTCCACGGTTTTCTTTTGCACATCGATTGCAGCTTTTTGTTCTACTGGGTCCTTCTGAAGAAGATTAAGTCGTACATAAAGAAGATTATCAATTGAGACATCTGTATCCTGCATAATTAACCCGTGGATTACAGAATCTCACAGCAACACCAGATGGCCTATTTCAATCATATGTTCCAATAAACATAAATTCCATGTATTTAAGCTGTGTTTCACTAGTTTAATAAGTAGATATTACATCTTGAGGATACCAATATACTATATTTTGTTATAGATGCTGGATTCATGAATTCAGCGGTTCAGTACTGACCCATACAGACAGGCAAATTCCCAGGCTCAATGCTTAATCTGTGCTGAGTCAGCTAGTCTCCGTCACAGCCAACATCAGAGAGCTATAACCACACTCAGCATACCTGGATTAGGGAGAATGAATTTGGCCATGAATTCCATTCCAGACTTGTCTAAAAACATATAGAAACCAAGGAACACAAACAGCCATTAAGACCACAAAACTTAGAGTTTTTACACTTCATGGAATAATGTACCCTATGTATTATCTCCTTGTAAAAGTTCTTTATTGACACAACAATGTCAGACAGCACTTTCCTCAATCTTTTTTTAAAAATGATTAAACAGACTGTTACACCCTTAGCAACAGTTTCAGACAGGAGTAGACTACGAGTCCCTCTAGCTTACTCACTCAACATCCTAAAAAGTTCCTTTGATACTCCCAATGTTTTAATATCAACAAAACTAGCATATAACTGTTAAATTCTGTTTCCGGCTCCGGATTTCCTTGCTGTTGGAAGTGATCTAAAGTAACTTTCAATAGTTTAGACAGGGTATAACTTCAGAACTTTGCATTCCAGAGTTGCAGTGACCCATAGAGACACGTTATAATGAATTGTTCAGATGCCACTAACTTAGGTGAAAAACTGTCTGTTGTACCATCGGATTTTCAAGAGATAAATGGATACAAAGCTAGGAAAAGTAGTAAATGGTGAGGAGGATAGTAGTAGACTGCAGGAAGACTTAGATAGACTGGCGAAATGGGCAGACATATGGCACATGAAATTTAATGCGGAGAAATGAAAAGTGATGCATTTTGGGAGGAAGAAGGAGAGGCAATATACACTGGATGGTACAATCTTAAAAGGGTTGCAGGAATATGAGAGACCTGGGGTTTACATAAGCAAATCTTTGAAGGTGGCAGGACAGGTAGATAAAGCTGTTGCAGAAGCATACGGGATCCTTGGCTTCATAAATAGGGGCATAGAATACAAAAATAAGGAGGTTATAATGAACCTTTATAAAACACTGGTTAGGCCTCATCCAGAGTACTGTGCTCGGTTCTGGGTACCACACTTTAGGAAGGATGTCAAGGTCTTGGAGAGGGTGCAGAGGAGATTTACCAGGATGGTACCAAGAATGAGGGACTTGAGTTATGTGGAGAGACTAGAGAAGCTAAGATTATTCTCCTTGGAGCAGAGAAGGTTAAGGGACAATTTAATAGAGGTGTTCAAAATTATGCTGGGATTTGATAGAGTGAACAGGGAGAAACTGTTTCCACTGGCGGGTGGGTCGGTAACCCGAGGACACTGATTTAAGATACTTGTCAAAAGAACCAGAGGGGAGATGGGGAGAATTTTTTTCACATTGCGCGTTGTTTGGATCTGGAACGCATTGCCTGAAGGTGACAAAGTAATATGGGAATCGAGTAACCCTCTGTGGCGGTCTCGGTAAACTGGTTACTGAGCCAGACGGGTCCTCAGCAGTACTCCAGTTTTTCAGTGGCAATCACTGGCCTCTCCTCTTCCCACCCTTTGAATTCCTGCCAATGATAGGCCAGGTGCCAGCGATGAAGATCGAAGGCCAGTAGTATCAGCACAATAAAACAGCTGCTTCCTGATCTTCATCTCCACTGGAAAACTTAAATAACTTTAAAACAGATGGCAGAAAATGATAGTATTTTTTCACCAATGTATAAGCATTTCCCTCCTGGCTACAGGCTTGGATTATTTTACGTTTATAATATAATAATCCTTGCATTTCATGTAGTGTCTTATCACATTGTCGACACATGTCAAAACACTTCACAGTTATACTGAAATGTGGTGTGACTGTGTATATTCTGTGGGTGAATTTGCGTAATGTTCACTAATCCACAATGACGCCAGTTCTAACTGAAGCAGATAATTGGCGTGTTACTGTATATCAAAACCAATATAGAAACTCATTGTAATATCAGTAATTGCTCCAGGTGGTGAGCAGAGTGCTCCCCAGATGAGTCCACCATCAATATAACAAAGCAAAAAAAAACTGTACTAAATTGGTTCAAGGGAATGCTTCACCCATTCTATGTACTCATTTATACTAATAGATTGAAAGTTTCCAATCAACAATCGAATTGGTACCTTCTTGTCACTGACTCACTTACCAGTTTAAATCATTTCTCCCTATCAAGACTCCTCATAACTTTTAAAGATCTTTATTACCGTTTCTTCTTAACCTTCTCTGTTTCCAGAGAAAATTTTTAGATGTATACCTGGTTCTTTCTTCAAAGCTAATATAGATCCTGCCACACAACCGCTCTCAGCAGGGCATTCATTAACCGAACAACCCTGTGTGTACAGAAAATCTTCCTAATCTCTCACTTTGCTCCTTTGATAACTCTCTTAAATTGAAATAATTTCTCCCTATTTACTCTATCAAAACTCCTCGTAAATTTTAAAGATCTCTATCAGTGTTCCTCCTTAACCTTCTCTGTTCCAGAGAAAATAAGTCCTTGTCAGCATTAAAGTTGTAGCGTCCAAATTTGTTAAGGCTTAGAATAAATAATGAATATAACTCTTAAATAAAATAAATGAAGATACAGTACTTTTGTGCTTGTATTTTAAGAGTTAATCTGCACTTCCTGCAGTACAGATGTACTCTCAAAGTAGGCACAGGCATATGGAAACTGACAGAAATAGTTCTCATTTCACTTGGCACGAGGTTTTGGCAGGGAAGCAGGCAGGCCCCCACCCCTGCCAGTTAGTTCTCCACACCCCATGCTGGAACAGGACTATTTTTGTAGTATAACAGTATAAATACTCAAAATCATCATACACACAAA